TGATATAATGGAGCCCTGGCCTTGCACTTTTGCAGTATACTGTAAGGCTGAACAAATATTTCTTTTAATATTTTTGGACAAAACCATACTAAAACTTTGAAGCATTTCATTTTTTAATAAAGTGAATTAAATGATCCCATTGATTTAATACAAATTAAATGTGATCCAAAATAAATGCAATAAAGTATGCTATCTCAAGACAGTGCAATATTAAAAATCTCTATACTAAGTGATTTGACATTTTCTCAGTCTCCCAATCTGCAAAAGTATCTGTGAAAAAATCAAAGTATCAAAGGTATTCATTAAGATTTCAGTGAAAAACTTCTGATTCTAAGGATTTCTGTTGATGGTAATAATTTTAATACCTTGTCATTGATAAGTGCTGCTTAATAAAACATCATTAGTTTTCTCAACACACTTTGCCGATAGGAGCCTTTTTTCTGCAAAATTTACCATACTGTCATAAAAGTGAAAATTATGTTCATAAGTCCAAAAGATACTTTTGCTTTCCATCACAGTTCAATTGTCATGTGACCATTTCACTATATGACCACTATTATCTGAAAGTATTATAAAGAATTTTTATAAGTGATATTTTTTTAAGAAAAATGTAACAAGCTTATATAACATTTGCATTATATTTTGGTATGCAGAATAGCTTTCAGAATAATGAAGAATTTTAGTGCAAGCCCTAAAGGTACATGATACTGTTGAGTGTGTGTGGAACCTATTCAGAGCCTTTCTACAATGCAGCTCACAATGTCAAAAGACAATATTTGGCATTCCACACTGTTATCAGGAAGCTCTGGATGGTTTATTGCACATTGATTGTATTGATTACAGCTGGAGGCATTGATAGCATAAATAGAGTGGGTTTAATTAGTCAGAATGTGTGATTAGCTTTTCTGTTTTAATGAGATAAACTAGCTCTTTAATAAAAAATAAATATTCTCTATTCACTCAGAATAAAACCACAATAACCAGAAACACAGATCACAGTCTGTGTTGCCTCCATGCTGGTCCTTGACTTTTGTCAAGGTCTAACACATTTTTCAGGATGCTTTTTTAAAATTCACAGAAATCCTCTGTCCCACACACACACACACAAATGCTTTAGTTTCTTCCAAAAAGCAGCTGCAGGTTTTACTGTGGAAGTTTAGTGTGACTGCTCAGCTGCAGCATCTCTCAGAATTCCTCCTGTAAAGCCTCTTCTCAGAATTTTATCCATCAACTGCCAGCACTTAATCTCCAGTGTCATTTAACCAGTAAGATTTCAGCACTCATGACATTTTTTTTAAATTTCTCTTCAAGATTTTAGGAGGGTAATTTATACTTTGCTAACTAACTTACAGAAGTAGTAAACCAGTTTTTAATATATATTGTGTAAAATGCTTTATCCTCGAAAATAATACTAAGTCAACAATGAAACCCTAATACTGTAATGTTTTGATTACATGTCTTGGTGGGAGGGGCTTGAACAGCAAAACTATTTGTTTTCCTTGGACATTGAGAGAAAACACATGAACTGAATCAAAACTGTCTTAATAGGAAATAATAAACTTTCCAACACATCTCTATTGCATCTGCCATTGATAAAAACTTCTTTGCCTCCTTCTAGAACCATCAAAATCATTAGATCGTACACTTGCACCTCCTAAAAAAAGTAATTATTCATCTACTGAGTCAGGTAAATCAAAATAAATATGAATATGAAACTGAACACCTGAATAGAATATTTGACTCAATAAATGAAGGACAAAATTAAAAATAAAATCACCTGGCTACTCAAAAAATCATCCTATCTCTGATTTCTCAGACTTAATATTTCATGCACATTTTCCAGATATGAGACTTCAAACTAAAATTTATCAATTTCCTGAGTAATAAAACCTATTAATATAGCACAAATACTGGTTTTAACAACATATTATTAAATATTAACAACATCTTATTTAATTTTAACAACATATTATTACCTTGTTCCCTCATTGTTTTCTCCATGATTTGCCTCTTTCTTTTCCATTGGAGGTAATTACCTTACTAGCTTTCTTTCCTTCTTGCTGACACTCTCTCTGCTTTAAAGGTCCTATTTTCTTTAGGAATTCCCTGATACATGTTTTGTATGAAAAACCACAAATCTTTAAATGCTTCTGGTTTATGCCAGACTGGTAGAACTGCACACGTACTCCAAAGCTTTTGTATTTTGTAACTGTGTTGGTCTGACTGAGATAATTCTCTTCAGAAGGGAGCACTGTCTTTCTCTCTCCTTGCACTTTTGTTTCAGCAGCTGTCCCAGCAGAAATATTCTGGTTCTTCTCTGGCTCTCAGACATCGCTGCCTTTTGCAAAAGCTGTGGTGACTGTGGAAGGAAATGCAGTTGGGAAGCAGAGGTGTTATTTAGGACTCAGTACTTCCTTACCTTCCCCAAATCTGATGCAGTTTCTCTGAGAGCTCAGCTTTGCCTTGGCTGCCTTTGTTTCAGTGCACTTGTAGGGAATCAGGCTGGTGCTGCTGCTTTGTGCTGCCAGCCCCTGCTGTGAGCATGGGCAGAGTCTTGTGGGTTTGGGGCTGATTTTCAGGCAGATCAAACCAAACATGCAAAGGACAGCAATGGAAAACACATTTCACCATGCTACTGAGTACAGCCTGCATTTAACTGTTATTCCTAAAATTTCTAAAGCTTTGGTGTGGACAAAGAGGCTTTGGCTGCACTCAGGGCACACAGATAAGGTGGCAGTGACACACATGGCTGTGGGCATTGCTTGTACCAACTCCCAGTGGCCTCGGCTGGAGAGCAGAAGAGAGGGATTGGCTGTGAGGTTGGCCATGTATGTGAAAATAACATGATGCTATAAGGAAATTTTAAGGTATGTTTTTTACATTCTGACATGATGGAAAATTCAATATCTCTTCCTTTAAATCTGCCATGCTACTTGCTGGGTTTCTACACCAACAGTTCTGTTTCCTGAGGCGGAAAATTAGTTTTTTTCATTTTGACTGCAAACAGATATGTGGTTGTCCCCAGATTCAACCCAGATTATGCACACATGCCAACAGGAGATGATGTAGAATCAATAACAAGTCCAGAAGTAGCAGAAAAACTAAAAAAAAAACCCCAAAGCAGTCAGCATATTTTAGCAATTGCACCAGATGACTGAGCCTTGCCAAATTTCTCTGACAGAAGCAACTCGTACATGAGATCATGAAGGCTCTTAAGAAACTAGAAGTGTGTTACCTATTTCCTTGGTGTTGGACCATCAAGTTGAGACATTTACAGTCTGGAATGTAATCTGCCAAATTTATCTGGAAATCTGGGAAAATTTATCCGTTTTGGACAAAGCCATGGATGTTGACATTACCTCTCCAGCTCTGGCTAATCTCCCCAGCCTGTAGCACAAGTTCACATGCATGATGATTTTGTGGCAGCTGTTGGAACAGCCAGACATAAGATAAATCAATCCCAAACCAAGTTTAATTTACTCTTTAGAGCTGCACTGCTTCATCAGCATGAAGCAAACATATGGGAATTTATCCCCTTCCATACAGTGGAATTCACTCTTGCCTTGCAGTGGAATAGGTCGGTCAAAAATGTTGGATCTGGTTCTATCAAAATGAGGTGATTCATTGAGGTCCCTCAAACTCTGTGTTCAAGTGTTGACTTGTAGTTGTTCAGTCCAGTTAATGATGATATGGAAGCTTTAATGTGTTACAGCTCATTCCTGCTGGAGAGGAGAGAAGGGAATGTAAGGAACCATCAGCTATGCACAGTGTGCAAAGATTAATTTCATATGTGAAAAGATTTACAAGACATGGTCACCTGAACAAAGATTGTCATTGTGACATGGATGTGTTCTTCCAGGGCTGTCTTTCTCTGATATGTGAGACTTTGTCACTGCACTGCAGTTTGCCACAAAAAAATGTGACAACAATAACAATTAAAACAGCTGTTCTGTTTTCCTTTCTCTGAGCTGCAACAATCAAAGACAGTGTTTCATAAAGTGGGGTGTGTGAAAGGAACATTGACCTTTGCATGAAGGTATGATGGCATGAAAATAATTCTTAGAAGTTATGACACTAGTGTCCAGAACAGACATAATTTGTCCATAAGTAGAAGTACCCTGTCCTCTATGATGAAGACCCCATCAAAATCTTCTTCTTCACAGAAGTAAAATAGATAAAGGACACCTGTGATAAGAGTCCCCTATATTGTCTTGCCAGTAGCTAGAATCATGTTAAGTTCAATAATAATTTTCTCTCTATTACATACAAGACTTTATAACAATAGGAAATGGATAGAAAGAATTATTTAGAATGTATTTGCCTGAGAATGTTTTTTTTCCCCCATATCAACAACAGCATTCAGACTCAATCCAATGTTTCCCCTTCAGAAAAATGTTTGTGGCATCCATTTCTGTCTGAGCTCAGCTCTGTCTCACCACCCATCCAGACAGGGAATGTCACACCACATTCTGTGTCTGTCGCCCGACTGCAGGGGCACCGAGCACTGCCAAGGCAGCGGTAACCAAACCAAACACATCTTGTGATTGTCTTTGTGCCTCTTTCTTTAGAGGGGGTAAGGATTTTTAATCAAATTGACTCCCACAGGTTGTTCATTCCAAGCCTTTATTCCTCAGAAAAAGACTCTGAAGGGTCCTGTAGGCTTTCAGAGGATAATTCTGAGTGATACTTGTACACCCTGTGCTGAGAGAGCAACATCAGCTGAAATCTAAAATGCAAACCTGATTTAAATCACAGATATTAATGTAAACACAAGAGGTGAACAGGCCTGAATGGAGAAAGCCTTAACATTTAATAATTATATTAACTGTAAAGTTTATTTTTATAATAATAAAATCCAGATTGATTTTGTTTCAGAATACTTGACAACTTGAGATTTCTTTTGTTCTTTTGGCTTTTTTTTTTAATAATCAAAAGAATTAGAAAAAAATAGGAACACAAACTGGGTTTTTATAGATGATATTTTGATTTGTATTTTTCAGGGACTCGTTAAATGTGTTCAGTCCCCCTGTCATTCCTGGAAGCCAACAACTAGAAGAGAACACTAAATCTTCAACAAAACAGACCTCAAGGTAGGAATTTATGAAGACAATGAAAAGAACCTGGGTAGAAAGACACTTCTAAATGTTCTTTCTGTAGTGCTGGTACTGCCTTCTCATAGCTTTCTATCCAACTACTTTCTGGTTTCAAGTTCCCTTGTTTATGAATCTCAGCTCAAGGCAGCAGAGTTTTCCATGCAGTATTATTTGCCTTTGCTAGAAGAACAACATGCAGTTGCTGTTTCCTGGTGTTCTGGCTCCGTACAGATTAGCTCATAAAAAATGCATCTTATTTGTTAAAAATAAGGAATTTATGCTAATGGGGATGGCAAACCTACATAAGAACACAAGGACTAAACATTCTTATTCAGAGGCATGATTATACTTGCATAAGAGATACTTCTCTTATGAAGAAAAATTGCAGATTTAGCTCTAAATGAAATCTTAGAGTGATTTCCTGAGGACTGTTGTCACCAGAGTTACAGGCTGTTGCTTATTAATGATGTTTGCTTAGAGAATGGTAAAGACCTTAACTGAAACTGGAAAGAATAAAGAAAATGCCTTGTTTTCCTTCTTTTTCTTATCATTTATGTTAGGAAACAGGGCAGAAGGATCATCACCACAGAGTATCACAAAATGGTTTGGGCTGAAGGGGACCTTGGGGTCCAGTTCCAACCCCCCTGCCATGGGCAGGGACATTCCCCTCAGCCAGGTCCAGCCTGGCCTTGGACACTTCCAGAGAGACATTCCCATTTTTCTTCAGGGCTCAGGAATTCACTGGGAGCTCTCATAAATCTGACCCCTCTATTCTGGCTGTCCAAGGGGTAAAGATGTCTCAGGGATTTACTGTCTAAAATAAATTATACCCCTCAAATTGGGAACATTTTCATAGACATAGACTTGTAATTGTTTGTGACAGCAAAATACAAATTTTCTGTCAGGAAGGGACCTTGGTTTGAAGAATCAAGTAATATGTTGTGTTAAGGGTCCTAAATAAGCCAAGCAGAATTGAACAGTCATCCTTGAGCTATAGGCACATTGCATAAAAATTCATGAAAGGTCCCAGAGAATGTTTTTCATTAGTATTATGAAATTCAAGCCTTGTTGCAGCAAACCTATAATTTTTTAACTTTTTTTTTTTAATTGTGTTATTATCTTTAAAAAGCTTTTTAAAATAAGTATATTTGGGGATTTGTATTTCTCCTGGTATCCACACTAGAATTTCCAAACTGTTTTGTGAATTGTTCCTAAACTCATTTTCCTTTAAGCTGAAATATTTTACATCATGTGCCTATGATTGCACATTTGAGGAAGCGAAATTGTCTATATACCATAACATTTTTTTGCCTTTTATTTTTGTACCTTCATTGAGTAAAATTCTGACTGATGTATATGTAGGATGTTTGTAATTTTGATAACTTCATAGAGAAATTTTCTATCTCCAGATACTCAAAAAACCCCGCTGTACTGAAGGGATCATTTCTCCAAGAAACAGGAGAGAACAACAAAGCCATTCCATGACCTTCCCTCCCCAAACAGGACAGTTTGGATTTTTTCTGAGCTACTGGACTCCCCTCTCTATGAAGCAGCAGAGAAGCTGCAGTGCTGTGTGATAAAGGCCTGTCAGATTGGATCGTCCCCATCAAACATCAGAATCTGGGTATTTTCCTAGGTACCAAAAAAACCCAATGGACCATGGTAACTAGATGGTTTGGAGTATCATTTTTGAAAGAGGTGCTAGATAAATTGTGTCCTGTGATATATCTTGAGGACCTTGGGAAAAACTTTTTTTCCTTATTCATTTCAGTTGAGGTCAGTAATTTGTGTGGTTCATTACTGACAGTTATATACCAGATGTGAACAACAAACTGAATGCTCAAATCCATTCCAGGAAATTCTGCTGTTCTGCTCAGCCTCACCTTTTTTTTATTTTTTATTTTTTAATACCACATTAGATAATTACTTAATTCTCATGTTGGGAAGTGTCCCAAGATTATTTACTCTGTGCAGTTTTCCAGTGTTCCAAGTGTCACAAGATAACAAAACCATATAAAGAACCCTGAAAATCTGCAATGAGTCATACTCTATTCCAGATAGGAATTTTATCTAAAAATATCCTTAAGTAAAAATAGTATAGCATTAGTAAATTTATAAAGATTGGTCAATTTTTATATTTTAAAGAAATCTTTAAGTTGAGGCTTAACTTTGGAGGAAAAAGTGATTCCTTTCTAAGAAAGGATTTCACTCTGTAGTTCCTTTCTTAACATTTGCACCATCCATTAGTTAAATGGTGAGATGCAATGAGTAGTCTTCTATTCAACAGGTTTCCCAATACTATAAGGGGAAAAATTAGACTCCTAAGTATGATAAATTTCCATAGATTTTTCCATTATTGGGCACTGATGTTTCTGGGGTATATACAGTTCTGTTTATCTTGACAAAACAAGAAAATCTCTAAATAAAGTGACAGTGATAAAGCTATAAGTGTTCTGGAACTTACTTTATGGTATCTTGGCCTTAAGACCAAGGGATAAGGTTATAAAAACTCCAGGAACCTCAAAGTCTTCTTTTTTGGGCCACAGCTGCTGGCAGTATTCATGTGGTAACCCTGCAGTACATAATCACAGGATAGACTGGAGCACTGTAGTTCAAGGATCACCTTGGAGAAAATCTCAGCAGTGTTCTTTCCACCAGACCATCTGCTGACAGCTGACCCAGTGCGTGGGACTTCCATCAGAGTCAGAACATGATCCATGTCTCTTAAAGTGAGATTTGCTACAAGGTGTTTTCTAATGTTAAAACCTAAAATAAAATAAAAATATATTTCTGTGAAAAGGGAAATTATTTATTTTAGTTCTCCATAGTGGTGACTATGTAAACACTGTTGACATAATCCACATGACAACACAGTTATTTGTACATTCATTTCTGAGTTTAGAAAAAGCTGCTACATGCCTGCCTGTTCTTTGTTGTCTGGGTTTAGACATCTTGATCAAGTCTTCTTCCAGAAAAACAATGCCCCCCTTGATTTCAATGGGACACCATTTAATTTCATATAACAGATATTTGCAGGTACTAGCTGCCTTCAGTCTTCCTTCAGCTCAACAAAAAACTACTCATCCCTCTGTAATGTATATCAAAGACCTCAGTTTTCATTTAAAATCAAATTATTTTCTCACCTCAAATACCATTTAATTTTTTAGTGATTTAAGAACAAAAGCTTTGATCTTGCTTTCACCATGAGATGCAAATTAAACTGCAAAGAGTTTTTTTTCATGCAATTCTGAGTAGCTTCAACCCCAGAAGTGTGGGTGGTGGCGAGATGAACAACGATGGAAATTTTCTTTGAAAGTGATCTGCTGACCAGTTAATTTGGCCACAAACACTTCTGTCCTGTCTGTGGTCAGGCTGCCCAGAATGTACCCTTTGAAACAAGAAAGACAACTTCTAACACAACCACTACATACTGCTGGAGTCTTTTAGAAGAACATCATTTAATTTAAGTAGTACTTCTATTCAGGAAGAAGAGCAGCAAGGAGGTTTTCGTATGTCTGCTAAGAATTGGATAGTCCATCCTGCCATTGGAAATTTGTTGCAACATCTAGAAATGCCTTGTAATGTATTTGGGGGTCTTGTGAGCTGCTAAAGGAATTAAACCTGACTTTAAAAACAAGACAGGTCTAGAAAACTAAGTTCTCTTTCTGGTCACATGAAAATACATGCAGGGAATTGTTGATATAAAGGTATAAATCCAGCTAGTCCTGGATGCAATATAATTTTGATTTGGTATGAATTCAAGGCACATGGGGAAAGAGGTAGCTTTCCTCTGTGTGATGGGGCTGTGATGGGGCTGAAGAATTTCTCATTCCTAACTCAAACCAGGGAATGTATTGAGTGGCCAGTTTCAAGCTAAAGAGGGTGAGACATTTAAGCTTAGAGGAGAAAAGAGAATCATTTCAAAGTGAAGCATAGGCACTGGAAAGCAAAATAATAAAAGGAAAATGCAGTGGAAATAACAGCAGGGTTTCAGGTGAAATTGTGAGGCTGTGTGAGGGAGTGAGGCATGAACACCATTTGCTTGTGCCCTGTGATCTGAAATGGACAAAAAGACGTTCAGTTCTTCCCCCCTTCTTTCTGCACTGCATCACTTTGCCCAAGAGCTGTCCAAACAAAATACCCCACTTGACCTCATTTAGTTCCCAGGCCTGATGAAGCACCCACAGCAGGAGGGAAACAATTTGGCTTTGCGTTCTTATCTTTGGTTGGGGTGAAGAACAGTTTCTTTCTGATGGTATTTGTTACATGCTACTGAGGAAACAAAACTGAAATCTCTTCTGAAGGGATGAAGTGCACACTTCTGTATGCATCAAATGCTCCAGGTTACTTTCTGGTCTCCAGATAATGTTCTCTATTTATTGCTGTGTGATCCTGGCTGAAAATAGGATCTGAGAGTGGTGAAACCATTGCTGTTTGCATAACAGGCCATTACTTGTCATGGAGCTTTGGGGTGTGCAAAGCACTCAATATTAGCAGGCTGAGGATGGGATGAACATTTATGGTGAAATTCAAGGTACAGATTGCATTCAGCTGTGAATTATCTCCTATCAAAAAGCTGTAGATCATATGACTTAAATTTAGCTTATATGAAAGACACACAGGTTCAGAAAAGAAGCTATAATATAGAAAGCATCTGTAAGAAAAACCTCTAGGGCTTTATCAGTGTATTCTAGACTAAAGATTCATTTCTGTTACCTGAAAGTTTTCTTGCATTTTATATAACTACAGATAAGTTAGATTTAAAATTTTTATTATCTGGAAGAATCTTTTTTTCTCTCTGATATTGAAAGTACTTCTGAACAGATTTACCTGTCCTGGATATTCAGGTGACATTTTGGATACCAGACATCCAAATTCTTTCATTCTTAAAAGCCTTAACTATGCACTGACTGTCTTTGTTCATGCTAAAAGATTATTAAGAAGGTTATTGAGGAAAATACCAGTTAAGAATACTTTTATCCACTATTAGTAAAGGTACTTTTGGTGAACTGCTCCATTGAACTTTGAAAAGTCCAGTTGTTAAGCAAACTCCAGCTGACCTCATTCCACCTCAAGTTAAGTACAAGTCTTCAGAAATATAATAAAAATGTGAATTGCTGTTATCTTGAAGGCAACAATTCAGAAGTCAGAAGATTATACATTTGAAAGAAAAAATGTCACATCTGACAGAAAGATATTTCCATGTTATTGTTGGAGGGAATAAGAGTGATTTATTCTTACTTTCTCCACTTCACACAGGTGAAGATTACCCCAGTGCTGAAGAAGATGAGCAAGTTTTGACTCTTTTGTATGATCCATTTCTGAACTGTTACTTTGACCTGAATTCTGGGAAATGCTATGAATTGGCATAGTCAGAACATCAGAGGGTATTATTTTGTATTCATAGTATCTTCTAACTTCTTGCAAAATCTGACTGAGCCATATAATTTATTATATAACTTGAAACTTAAATTAAACAATAGTTTTGCAAGCAAATTAATATATTTGGCAAGCAGTGTCTTATTTTTATAGCTTTGTATTAAACCATAATGCAGTGGAAGATCACATAGCATAAAAGTTCTTTGTGTCTAAGACAGTTATTTGCTAGTCTAATTTATTTCCAATATTCACAGCTTCCATATGAAAACAAATGAAGCTGAATCAAGAAGGTTGGTGGTGTTTATGTGTAAATCATTGTTTTACTCAAATTAAAAAAAAATTCCTTGTTTGCTGTGTATTTTGTGAGGTGCTGAGGGTATCAGCTGTAACAGCACAGGGCTGAGGAGTGGGGAGGGGTTGGTCCAACACTCCAAAAGTGAATTCTTGTGCCAGGTAAGGCAGGGAGGTGTTTGTGATTCCTGTGGGAAGCTGGGCTGGGACGGCAGGTCCAACTTGTTTGTGTGAGCTTGCAATAAAATAATGCAATTAATTTAACACACATTGGGTCTCAGTGCAGTTTTCAGTGAGGGCCTTAAGTTCCAACTTGGAATTTTAAAATTTCCTGCATCACTGTGGATTTTGCTTTTATGGTATGTAAAATAAGTCTGCACAAAGAATACAGATAAAGAGCACAAAGATCACAGAGAAAGAATACAGATAAAGAGCAGAACATATGCAGCATTTGCAAATGAAATCACAATATAAAATAGCGTGCATGTATTTTATTTGTTTTATATATTCATGGATTTATTACTGTGCATGGATAGTGTGTAGTGTTCTTTGATCTAAAATCCAGTTAACCTGACCCTGATGTTTCTGGCAGCTGCTCAGCTCCAAGCTGTGCCCAACACTGCCAGCCCCAGAGCAGGAGCAGTGCTGCTTGCCAAGAGCATCCCCCCCAGCAGGACACTTGTCTAAAGGGTAAATAAATCACTGAAACACCAGCTGCCAGCATAGGAGAAAAGCTGTTGCTTAGGAGTTGTCCATGACACAAGAAGTCCAAGGAGTTTTGTTTTAATGGAGTTGAGTCAGTGAAACAGCTCTGGAGCCCCCCAGTCCAGTACATAACATTTCCTGAAGGGAATGTGAAAGTCACATGGCAAAAGTGATCTATAGGCATTGCTGGTCATTCTTGTTCTAAGTTTCTACTTGATTATATCCACTGCTATCCCACTGTAATTATTTTCAAGCTGACTACTCAGTGAATTTTTAAGAATAATGTATTTGAATGTCATAAAGTGAGCTTAGTAAGCTCAGTGCAAGTGATTTAAAATTATATGCCTGTAAATTATATGTAATTGTAGATTCCAGTTAATGAATATCCTAGAATCAATTGAAAATGCAGTTGTTAATAGTGGCTTGGCGTAAGATCAGATTGTGTATTTGGCTCTGTGGCAGGTACAAACACATCATCACAAATTGATTCAAGGAAGAGTAGCACTGAAATCCACAGGAAGACAGATACTGCACTGATATAATTTACTTACCCTGCCTTAGCCAGGAAGATTTGTACTGTTCTTGCTAATGCCCTAATCAGTTTAAAAGTTCAATGAAATCATAATTTTGACTTTCAAAAATCAGATGCTGGCTTGTACATACTTGTGCATATCTCTGGCCATTTTAGCATCATTTAGTGATCAGGACCACACTCCCTCTGTGTGTGGCAAGGGTATTTAAAACATGTCATTAATTTTTAATTTTTCATAGCCACATGTCTCACAGGAGAGGTTGGGTGTTCCAGGGCACCATTTTGAGTCCAGACTGGGTCCCTGATGCAGCTGAGGTTGCCACTCCTTGGGAGAACAGACCCCAGCTAAATGCTGGCTGCAAACTGGTGTCAGGGGATTGTCTGTCAGGGGAATTGTCTGTCAGGGCCTGTCTGGGTGGGTGTGCTTGTCCTGGCACTCACTCACCTGTCACACACAGAAGGGCACCAGTAAGGGTCGCGGACGTATTTTATGAAATATCCTTTTGCTAGGATCTTTTCTCCTGAGAAGCTGAGGCCTCAGAAATGAAATGTAAACAATGGTTATCTGCTGCTGTGGAATGCAAGAGGTGCATCTTTGATTGGTCTCATGTGGTTGTTTTTAATTGATGGCCAATCACAGTCCTGCTGTCTCAGACCCTCTGGTCAGTCACAAGATTTTGTCATCATTCCATTCCTCTCCTTTGCTAGCCTTCTGATGAAATCCTTTCTCCTATTCTTTTAGTATAGTTCTAATATATAATTTTCTTTTAATATAATAAATATCATAAAATAATAAATCAGCCTTCTGAAACATGGAGTCAAGATTCTCATCTCTTCCCTCGTCCTGGGACTCCTGCAAACACCACCACCAGTAGGCACCCAAAGCTTGGGCAAAAGGGAGACTCCACACTCTTATCCCTGCCTGTAATGAGCAAAGGAGGCAGGTGAGGACTGACAGTAGGTTCAGGGTGAGTCTGTTGTTCCCAGTTCACAGTCAAGCACAAATAGGATCTGTTTTCTTGCCATTAGCACAGTAGCATTTCATAGGTAAGCAGCTGTAACCTGCTTTTCAAGATCAGCAGTTTGGGATCCTTGCCCTTTGTGTTCTAGTTAGCAGCTTTACGTCTCCAGCCCCAGGGGGATTGATTGCCACCAGGCTGTGAACAACAGCTCTGCCTGGAGCAGCACCAGAGGCTCACAAGGGCTCTGAGTTCTGCTCACAATGTTTTTCTTAATCATCATCCTGTGAACCTCAAACTAAAGCACTGCTGACACACAGCAGGGGCTTTGTTGAGCCAATTTGTCAAAGCCAGCAGTTATGGCAAGTGATGAGGAACACAGAGATTTGCTCTTAGCAGTCATGGGCAATGGTTGAGGCCATGAGAATCACAGTTTTCACTAGAGCAGGCTTTCCAACAGGTAAAAGTACCTGTGTCTGGGCATAAAGATTCATAAATGAAACTGCAGGGATTTATTTCTACAAACTGGCATCAGTTATGAATTTTGGGAACAGAAATTTTGAAATGCAGTAAATTTCAGTAAGGTTTCAATAATGTTCCTTGGACCTGCATTAAAAATAGAGGAGTTATCTTGGTGGAGCTGCTGGAGTCAGCAGATCACATCTCAACCAATTGGTCTCCCAGGCCTTTCTATGTTCCTCTCACATGTGAGATGTAACTGATACCTTTGCTTTGTTTCTGCTTGCTAAGAAACAGTCAACCAGCTTTCAGATAGCTCAGGAGTAAGAAGAAATCTTTAAAATACAATTTATTGCTTTAAAACACAGCCCAGAGCAGTGTGTTTCTGGAATGTTGCTGGAATGATTCTCCTCATCTCTCATTCTTTTTGTCTTAGGTCCATCCAGCATGGTTTTGTCCAAAGTCCAGCCAGGTTTCAGCCCTCAGGTGTGTGTGAGAGCAGCAGCACTGAGGTGCAGATCACTGAGCCTGGTACCTTGTGCTGCCACCTGGGCTCCTCCCAGCTGCCCTGAGATTTCACACTCTTGCACCCAAGTGTTGTCTGTGCCTGAGCCTCATTGTGCCAAACAAAGAACACACCCTGCCCTAAGGAGCTTACAGTAAGAAATCAATATTGATTTTTCTCCTCTGCTGCCTGGGTTACTAGGTGAGAAAATATGAAAAGTCCTGCTGTATTATTCACATATTCTTCTGCCATCAAGCATTCTGTTCAGAGACTCATCCTCTAAACACTGAGGCAAGTGGCAAGGATACACAGGCTGGAAAATCCTAGAAAATAATTTTGCATAATGCATTTCATATTCAATTTTTTTTTTTCTACAAGGTTTTTCCTTTTTTTCAAAGGGTTTCATTTTTAAGCAATGGGCTACATGTAAAATGAAAAGACAATCCAGTCTTTCCTATGTGATATTGCTGATAATCACTGCTTTTCTCATGGTTACTATAGAAACTTGGCATCCTTATCTGCCACCTTTTTTGGCATCTTGAAAAAAACTATTTAAATTCACTTCCCTGATAAATTGAACGCTTGGCTTGACGATACCCATGGGAATATGTAAGTGTATCAACAATATTTGTAATTTCTTCTTATTTGGTGTTTAACTTGCTCATTAGCAGCTGCAGAGGCATTTCTGATGGGATGTTCAGGGATCAGGCTGCAGGCACTGTCAGCAGCACAAATGCAGAGTCCTGGATGAAACCCAGGAGCAGCCACGAGCTCCCAGGGCTCACATGCATCAGCCCAGGGTGCCAAGACCTGAGCAGGATTTTGCTCCTGTCACACCCCTCCAAAAGCAGCTCTGTTTCCAAGTCTGACAGTTTTCAAGCACACAAATAATCTGTGAGCATTAAACTGCATGGTAAGAGTGATTATGAAAGTTCCTCTGGTAAATCAGTGGTGAGTCAACACTTGTGATGCTTTTAATCCCTTTCCAAGCCTCATCCATTCTGCCTGGCAGATGAGAGTGGGCTTGGGCTGGGGATGCTGAGGAGCTGAGAGACATTTCTGGAGGTGAGCACAAGGCCAGTGCAAGCACCAGGCCTCCCAGCACCAGAATTATGCTTGTAACCAAGGCTGTTTTTTGTAGTTCCATCAAAATGTGGCCCAGATGGGTCTCTCTGCTTACACAGCCCCTGCACTGGTGTCCTTCAAGGCGTCTCACAGGAATCCCCTCAGCACTGGGGGAGAAAGGAGATGTCAGCCCTGGGCAGCTGCTCTGGCTCCCTCAGCACGAGGGTCCAGCGAGCAGGGGGTGATCAGCCCTGCATCTTCAGCACATCTCAGGGTTTCATTTGTTACCGTGTTCTTTCACCAGGAGTTCTGAAGAACAGACAGGTTTGAAAGATTACAGAAATCGGTTACAAAACAGCACAAGAAAAATGCTTCAAGAGTCATTAAATAAAATGCAATTTTACTTTTGCATTGTGGCTGGAGTGCTCCTGGGGACTAACACTGAGTTCTCATCCCAGTCCTCACAGGTATCCTCACCTGGCCTCTGCCAGAGAAGAGGTTCAGGCTATGCCAGTGGTGGGTTCTCTGCACTGACCCATAGAGCAACAGTAAAACTCTTTTCATAAAGAAACCCAGCTAGGCTCCCAGTGCAAACTGCTAGTGTACTTCAAAAGATGTTTACATTACTCTGCTTAGGGGGTTCTTTGATGAAAAAGTTTATTATTGGATGATTGTGCATTTTATCTGCATGGGAGACCAAAAAACCTGAGGTCACAGAAATTACTGACGTTGTTTTAGAGCACTGCATATTTATTAGACCATCTGCTGCTGCAGCACTCAAGGCAGAAACCTCCACACAGGCAATCTATTCCCAGCTACTGTTTTACCACCTGATGTGCAAAATATCAAAGCTCTGGATGCATTTATTACAGCACCGAGTAATTTTCTAATGAATACATAAAGCTCAGCAAACATCCCGTGCAGGAGTTTCCTGTGCATTAGGCTGCTGTTTTCTCACTGGGGCTTGAGAGGAGCCTCTGAGGAG